GAGCCACAAATCTGAACTGGCTGTGTTCTTGATGAGGGTCTCTCAAGCTTAACGTGCTTGGGGACCCCTGGGTCCCCTAGGGAGAATGCAGACTCTGCCTCGGTAGACCCAGGTGGGACCAGAACCGCATTTCTGACAAGCCCGTAAGAGGCACCTGCAGCTGGTCAGCCGCCACTCAACGCTGCAGATGCTGCGGGGCCTGCTGGCTCCTGGGCGCGGCTTTCTCCCTCTCCCGCAGCGTGGTCCTCCTTCCCAAGCACCCGCAGCCGCGCTGACGCCTCCATCTGGGACTCCAGAGCTGTTGGAAGCCCAGGCCGGGCCTCAGCAAACTGGCCCAGGACAGACACTGCCTCTGTCCCGCCGACACCCTGCTTCCGGCAGCCGCCCCGCCTACGCTGAGACTCTTCTCGGCCGGCGGAGAAGGACCCTCAGCGTGCAGAGGTGGGGCAGTAGAGCTGCGGCCCCCAAGCCCGGTCCTGTCACCCCCACCCTGCAAAAAGATCGAGCCAAAGAAGTGGGCTCCCGGGTGAAATACGGTCTCCCACTGGGCTCCGAAGTATTTGACGCCTGGAAACTAGAAGTGTGCGCATGTGGGTGGGGCGGTCTTTGCAGCTAAGCTTTGCAGCGTCAGGGGCGTTGGGCAGTTGGGGGGCACTTCGCGCCCTTCGTGGGGTAATTCCCACTGGCCAGCAGCCTCCAACGCTGCGCCTTTGCCGACCCCTGGGAAGCGCTTTGGATGCTCGGCCGCCACTCTCTGTGCCACTCTCTGCTCGCTGGATGGAAGGAAAGAAAAAAAAACGGGCCGCGGGAAAGGGGCTCCCCGAGAGTCACGTGCGTGGGAGAGCGGCGCAGCTGAAGGGGGCGGACACCTTGGGACCTCAAAGAATATAAATGAATAAATAAATAAACAAACAAATGTAAACGCCCCGCCTGGCCCCGTAAGCGCATTTTGATTTTAGGAAGAGTTTCCTCCGGGTTAGGAGGTTTGTTGTTTCAATTATTTTTTAAAAAGTATTGGAATGACATCTCCCTCCAGTGTCATTGTTAGTGTTGTTTTAGTTTTGGGGGCCACACCCTCAGGTTTTCTCCCAGCTCGGTGCTTAGCAAGGTGTGGGGAGGGGCTTCTCTCCTGGTGGTGAACCCGGGGAGTCCACCCCACTGAGACACACACACACACACACACACACACACACACACACACACCAATTGTGTCATCTTGAAACATCAAATGCTCTCGGTTCTGTCTGGGGACCCTCAGGACCCCAAGGTTGGATGTCATGAGTCCCCGGAAAGGAAGCAAGGGAGACCCTTACTAGCGGGGGTCGATGATGGTGCGGGGTGCGCGTCTTCTGGGAGGGGCCTGGGACCCTCTGCAGCGGGTGACAGCGAGTCCTTTTAGTCCCTTGACTCCAAGTGTCCCGGAATTAGAGCAAAGTGTAACTTCACCGGCTGATGGGCAGTCCACACTGTTTCGGGACTCCTGCTCCGCTAGCAGCCAGCGAGCAGCCTTTCCCGCGGCTCTTCGGAACCTGAAGCTGGGTTAAGGCGTCTCAGTAACTACCCCCCAACCCGGTCCAAACCCCGAAAGCATTCGGAGGGAGACGCGGATATGCAGAGCTGCGCGTCTTGGAAGGGCAGGGGGCTGGGGGAGGGGGAGAGGGCTTTGCTCTGCACCGGGGGCTGTGAGGTGTGGGAATCTGGGTATCTGGACCCGCAGAGGGACTGAGGGAACGAGCCGGGTCTCTGGGGCCTTGATCCTACTCGGGTGTTTCCAAAGCGGGGTCTCTGGGGCGCTGACTCACTCTAGGGCTCATACTCAAGGTTTCCCGCAGAGTCGCTGCTGGGCGGAACAGCTGCAGCGCTCACTGCGGCACCGCTCAGGCCGCTGGGTCCTCTGAGCCGCCACGCCCCAGCCCCCCCTACCGCGGGTGTCCCCAGCATCTTATCTCACCTCCGCATTGCATGTGTCTTTCACACGTCTCACACCCTGATTGTGTGACTTGCGGCTCTCAGCTGAGATTCTCAGACTGTCCCTCACACAGACTCTCCAGGAGGGGAGCAAGAGGAAGCTGGGGCTATGTGTCTGTGTGTGTCTGTGTCTGTGTGTCTCTGTGTGCGTGTGTGTGTGTGTGTGTGTAAGAGAGACAGACTGAAAGACAAACAGACAGAGACAGAGGCAGACACAGACACAGACATAGACTCAGAGCAGAGACAGACAGACACAGAAACAAAGAGACCCCCACAGAGGTGGGGTCACCAGCACATAAAAGATAGAAACAAACAAATCTGTATAAGCATACTATTCCTTCCTCTCAAACTAGAAATAATTTAATAAGACAAGGGAACATCTTTTAACGTAGTGGGTTCTGTCTTTTCCTGGTGCACTAAATAGAACATTAAGGTAAAGGTAAAGGCCCTCCCGTTGATCGTTGATTTGCTCGAGCGGGCCCAGTAACATCTCCATTGGAGACTTTGTTGTTACTGTGTCTGGCATATCCAATACTCTCGGTAGCTAAATAGAACATTACCAAAAAAAAAAAAAAAAAAAAGCTAGGGAGCAAAGAGACCACGATCACACATCTCTTGTGAAGTCCTGGTCCCCATATCCAGCCCATAACCCTGTACAGGCCCCTCTCCTAGGAAAACCTTCCCTACCCCTCCACACACACATAAACACCGGGCCTATTTTTATTGAAAAAGGAGAATATTAAATTTGCTGTATCAAAGCATCCTGCTAGTTGTTGCTCTTTTAATGGTCATTACAGGAAATGCCTTATGTTTATATTAGATGATAAGGATGTGGATGGTTATAGATTGATAGGATTATTTTAGCTAAGAGCAAAAAAAAATCATTAATTCTCAAACAAATATGTCTTTATCGGCTACTAGAAACCTGAGTCCTATCTACAACGTCTCAGCTTATTTTATAAAACCACTTAATGTTAAAATTACTTATAGCAACATAAATTCTGTTTAGTAGAAATCTGTTTAAAACCATAAGTCTGAGGGACCAGAGCATATAGCCAGAACACCAGGGAGGGTGCTTGACTTGCACCTGGAGACTGACCCGGATTCAATCCCTGCCATTCCATATGATCCCCCAAGTACCACCAGAAGTGTTTTCTGAACATAGAGACAGGAGTAAGCCCTGAGCATCGCATCGCTAGATTTGGCCCTAAAACAAATACATTTTTTTTAAAAAAGCACTTGTCCTATATCAGAACCTAAGGTATTCAGGGAAAATATCTAAGGTGTGAACTGAGAGGGATTTAACTAAATAGTAAGCACTTTTATTTTTTTGCCAATATCCATTGAAGTCACATATACTAGTGGCTACATTTTTTGTCCCAAATCACCAGATTAAAATGTTTGAAGTATAACTATAATCTTTTATAGAAAAAAATGGAAATACATACTGTGATTTATTGAAATGTACATAATACCTTTTGACCACATAATCCCTGCAGGGGATTACTAAAGAAATACTTAAACACAGGACAACGCTTTAGACACACACACACACACACACACACACACACACACACTTACTCACATATATGAAGATACTGCTGAGCAATGACTTTCCTGGACGTTTGTTAAACTTAAATAACAAGACCTGATCACAAGAGGCTGAGCACACTGATGAGAACAAGGAAAGTTGTCTGAAGCTGGACTTGTTTCAGAAAGTCTTGAACGGATTATCAAAATTATTATTCTGCTCATGAAAGATTAGATGAACAGTAAAATCACACAGTCAGTGTCCTATGGCTGCTTCTTGTGATCTTTATCTCTGGGCTTTACACCTTGGTGTGATTCCCCACCACTCTGCATTGGACAAGCATGCTGGTTTCTGCCTTATGTACACAGTGGTACCATAGTGGTAATATGTGGCTTTTGAGTCCAGGACAAAAAACACATGGCAACTTCTGCTTTGGTGGCTTGGAAGTGGTACTCTGGGAAGGACAGTATCCATGCAACTCTATGGAAAGGCCCATATGGAGACAATAATGCAGGTTCAGTAGTAAATCACCTTGAAGATGATTCTGCAGGTCTAGTCAAATCTTCAGATAACAGTAACCTCAGCCCACATTTGATTGCAATCTCATTAGAGACCAGAGCCAGAACCTTTTAAGTGAGCTCCAAAATTCTTAATCTGCAGAAACTAAGAAATAATAAGTGATTGAAATTATTTTCAGCCACTAAGCTACTGAGCATTGGCCTGATTTATTATGCACAATAGATAGCTATTCCATACTGCATATTAATATGATGAGTTATGATGTCACTATCAAAAATAAGATACCTTTCCAACTTTCCTTCTCTATGCACAAATCACCTCAGAAATTCCCCATCTCACATTGTATTATAAGTCACCTTACTATCAGCTCTGATCACCCTTTTATTTAGTGTCTCTGCTTTGATTCTTGCATTCTTTAAGACATCTTCTACACAGGAGTCAGTGTGGCATTTTAAAACAGCAATTAAATTGTGTCATCTTCCCCTTTTCGGTCCCTTTGGAAATATCTAATTGCATTATGAATAATATTGAAACTTCTTGATCCACAAGCCCTGCACAATGTATGTCGCCTTGTCTGCCCATCTCTCTGCTTTCAGTCTCGTTCTTAATGCTCAGCAACAAGCATAAGACACTTCCAAACCATCCAAACCAACCAAATTTTTACAGCTGCAGTTCCCTTTACTTAAAACAACCTTCCTCTGGTCATTTCAGGTCACAGGTGAATCAAAAGTCACCCACTTATTGACTTACTTGCAAATTGTTCTCTCTCTCTCTCTCTCTCTCTCTCTCTCTCTCACACACACACACACACACAGACACACACACACCACAAAGAGAGAGAGAGAGAGAGAGAAACACACACCACTGTAGCTCCTAAAGAAAGATTATTTATTGTTTTGGTTTTTTTGTACCTAGAACTATGCCTGCCACATGATTAACATAGACTAACACAGGTAATTTACATCAAAATATAAATAACAATATATTTACTTGGCAGGTAAGATACCATGGTCATGAAAGTGGTTTTCCCATGGCAAGTCTTATCCATTGCACTCCAGATGTGCCGACCTCCACAATTTCTCCCAATGTGGGAAACTTTACTGTATAATTTGTGGTAGTAGGGGACTACGTTCAAGCTTTTCTCTGAAAAAATACATATAAGGCCTAAAGAATAACATGCAATGAACAAGATGGAAGAATATGATTTTTCCCTTTAAATTTTCTTTTTAGGGACTGGAGAGATACCACAGCGGGTAGGGCGTTTGTCTTGCACATGGTCAACCCGGGTTTGATTCCCAGTACCCCATATGGTTCTTTAAGCATCGACAGGAATAACTCCTGAGTGCAGAGCCAGGAGTAGCCCCTGTGCATCACCAGGTGTGACCCAAAAAGCCAAAAATTTTAAAAAAATTTAAAAAAATTTTTCTTTTTAAATTGTTGTGTTTTATGCAGTTCTCCATGTATGAATAGTTATCTGTGTTAACGAGAATTGAACTAATTATTCTATTTTCTGAGGCTACTGAAAGTTTTGTCTTAATTTTTGTCCTATGTTGTTTCATTGTTTCACTTTCCAGGTCTCTTCACTGGGAATTTTATAACATCCTTAAGCTGAAAATGGTCCCACTGCAGAGCTTGTGTAACTCGCTGCAGTATATTCTGTTGCACATTTTCCCAAGAAGAAAACATGCTCAAGTCACGGAGAACCCCTTTCAAGTGTGAATTCAGGTTGGATCAGTTTTCATTCTTTTTTTTTTCTTTTTGGGTCACACCCAGCGATACACAGGGGTCACTCCTGGCTCTGCACTCAAGAATTATCCCTGGGGGCTGGAGTGATAGCACAGCGGGTAGGGCACCACCAGGAGTCATTCCTGAGTGCAGAGCCAGGAGTAACCCCTGAGCATCGCCGGGTGTGACCCCTCCCCCCAGAAAAGAATTATCCCTGACGGTGCTCAGGGGACCATATGGGATGCTGGGAATAGAACCTGGGTCAGCCGCGTGCAAGGCAAGTGCCCTACCCGCTGTGCTATCACTCCAGTTCCCAGTTTTCATTCTTATGTTCCAACGGAGAAAGAGAAATTCTCCATTCCAGTTATGTTTATAAAAGATTCTCACAAACATCAATCCTTTGGTATTGTTATGAAAACATTTATTAAAATGCCCACTCAGCACAGGCATTTAGTTGTGAGTCATGGGGAGGGAAACAACAATCTTATTTATTTAGCTGACCTTTTGAATGATTTAAAATGACAGTAACGAATGGGGCAACTGCGGCCTCATGGGATGGGGGGCAGAACCAACACATCCTTCTTGCCCCGCCAAGACCACAGTTGCCCCCCAAGAGCAGCTCTCCAGCACAGCCAGGGCCCCACAGGCACAGGGACCTAATTCAGAACCCAGAAGCTTTTGGCAGAAATGTGAATGGATTATGCATTAAGCTATGGCACCGTGCCCTCCCCGCCCCCCCCAAAAGGGAAAGGGTGTCTGTCTCTTCTGCCCCCTACCCCCTGCCCAGGCACAGTGGCTGCTGCCTCAGAGCTTATTGGACAGTCAAGTATGAGCTGGCAATGACGGGACAACTACGGCTTCATGGGATGGGGGGTGGAACCGGCTTGTCCTTCTTGCCCCCCCCCAAGACCACAAGTTGCCCCCCTACATGCAGTTCTCCGGCATGGCTAGGTCCCCAGAGTCACACAAACCAATCTCAGAACTATTCAGCTTTTGGCAGAAATTCCTCCAGACTTAATTAGTAAAATATCAGAAATCCAAAATTGCGGCCACATGACATCATATGGTCTTCATAACCAGCAATAGAAAACAAATGATTTCACAATGCCTTTTCAGTAGGTTTGAATGTTGGGGGGAAAATCCAAATAATAATGGTGCATCTTTTGTCGAAATAATGAATGTAATCAAAGTAAAAAGAGATTAAGTGGCAATTATCTGCCTCTCAGATATGGGGAAAGTTGGGATGGGGGGGTATATTGGGGTTCTTGGTGGTCGAAAATATGCACTGGTGAAGGGATGGGTGTTTGATCATTGTATACTGAGACTTAAACCTGAAATCTTTGTAATAGTTATCACAGTGATTCAATACATAAATTAAAATAATAATAATAATAAAATAAAATGATAATAACATGGGGCTGGAGCGATAGCTCAGTGGGTAGGGCATTTGCCTTGCACGTGGTCAACCCAGGTCTGATTCCCAGCATCCCATATGGTCCCCTGAGCACCACCAAGAGTAATTCCTGAGTGCAGAACCAGGAATAACCCCTGAGCATCACCAAGTGTGACAAAAAAGCAAAATAAATAAATAAATAAAGTGATTATAATGTGAAGGTGTGCAAGAAGAATGACTCCGAAGAAGTGGACTATACAGAAGGACTGGACAAGAAAAAGAAGAAACAATTGAAGACGAATTAAACTGAAATACAGATCTGTGGTCAGATAGAAGAGCAACACCTAGTGAATCAACTTCCTGAAAGTTGGTGACCCTTTATCAAATTCAAATTTATCTCTGCTTTATAAGACCTGTTTTCTGTATTTTGTTTTTAATTAAAATCAGGTTGAAGAATTAGGTATGGTGTAAATAATTAAGTAAAGCCTGAACTTTCTAACTACAATGTTATATAATAAATGTGAAAGTGTCCTTTCAATTGACACAGAATGTATATAATAAGAGCTCTGCTAATCTGCCTCAGCATGTGTCTGTGAAAATATCCTTCATTTTATGGGGGCCTCCCTCACTGAGTTGCAGGAGAAGCTATATGGTATATTGGGTAAAATCTTGGACAGAGCTAAACCATGAGGTTTTAGTTCAAATTTTGCCACTAACTAGTTATGTGACCTTGGTCAAGTTACCTAACTTTAATTTCTGACTTGTAAATCAGTGGTGATAATTATATAATTATACTGGGCTCATAATATTGCTATAAACAAAATATGTCAATTAATACGTATAGTGCTCTTAGAATAGTATGTAGGAAACACTAGAATATCCACTTGAAACAAAAATTAAGCAAGTTAATTGCTTACCAATTTAATGCCAATAATAAACTTTCTGCTAATAATAATTATAGGCATGTTTCCCATTCAGCCATTCAATCCATGCTTCTAAAACAGAGTACTGAATCTTTTTCATTTTTTGTGTTAAGAAAATTTGAATCTAAAAGGATTTGAAGTGTCAACTAGTGAACTCTTCTGTAGATAAGATTGAGAGCAGGGTGGGGATGGGAATGTTCAGTGTACCCAAACAAAATCACATGAGAATCCAGAAGAGACTGATTTTTTGGTTCTCTGCTCTCTCCATAGCTTTTGATGACTCTTGTCTTTCTAGTCATCAATTATTCATTCAACCAACATATACTGTACTCTGTCCGCTCTGGTAGAAGCTGCTAGATATTGGAATCAAACAGTGAACAGGAAGTCTGATTTTCATGCTTCTAATAGCTCTTGCGTGAAGGAAATGCAAACTTTACCTTATAACCATGTGATGATGATTTCAGTAGGTGAAAATCTGAAAAATCTGCAAGGTCTTAGGAATACATTTAAAAGAAGTCCTGTCATAGAAGCTTTCCCTAGGAGGAAAAAAGTCTGAATCTAAAGGGTGTGCAGGAACTGACTGACAGAGAAAAGAATAGTACGCCAGACAGAAATGAGCACAACCCTGTGTCAGGTAAGAGAATCAGGGTAACTGGAACACTGGAAGTTGGGGGCAAACAAACACACAGAGGGTGAAGTCACAGATGTAGAACAGGGTCTGACTATGTAGTCCTTAAAAGCACCTCCAAGGACTGGGAGATAGTACAGAGCTAAAGATTCTTGCCTTGCACAGAGCTGACTCCAGTTAAATCCCTAGCACTGTAGATGGTCTCCTGAACACTATCAGGAGTGATCCCTGAGCACAGAGCCGAGGAGTAAGCACTGAGCGCCACTGGGTATGGTCCAAAAACAAACAAATCACCTTGAAGATTTTAGCTCTATACTAAATGTGGAGGGGGGGGTAGGGGGAGTATTAGACCATTTAAACCAAGAGGATATGATCAAAATGTCTTTTTAAAAGATGGGGCTGGAGCAATAGCACAGCAGGTAGTGCGTTTGCCTTGCATGTGGCCAACCATGGTTCGATTCCCAGCATTCCATATGGTCCCCTGAGCACCACCAGGAGTTACCCCTATGCATCGCTGGGTGTGACATAAAAAAAAAAGTTGAAAAAAATAAAAGATTAGTAATGTGCTAATTGATGAAGATTGAGAAAACTTTGGAAGTTTCCTAGAGAAGTCACAGAATACATGGAGATATGTGCGTGGATACAAGATACATCAACAACACCATCAAGTGTACTTGGTGAAGCATTAAACTAGAGAGGTTAAAGACAGGAAATGAGCATTGTGAACACCCAATGTCTGTTTTGCTGAATAGGCTGATGGTGAATGGGTGGTGGAAGAGTGTTATCCAGGGAAAATAAGAGTACACTGAAAAAGAACTAGGGTCTGGGGTGTGAGGAAGGGAGAAAGGTACTGAACTTTCAGAAAGGCCTGCGTTTTGGAATTTTTTTGAAAATAAAACTTCAAATCCATTTAGTGCATTTTTTCAGTATTTTATTATGGCACACAGGAGAGAGTATGGTACAGAGCTCTGACTTCAAGTAATTCTTAAACCAACCAGCTGTTTCCAATTAGTGAAAAGTAACTTTTTAACAAGTTATTTGCTTCTGTCTAAAACGTATCATGGATATTGTCCCATGTTTAATCAACGAAAAATGTGAAAAAGATTTGTTTTTGAGACAATGCATAGTCTATACAGAAGTTAATGTCTTGAGAATCTTCATAGTTTCTCAGTAGCTAAACTCATAGTCCAAATTCACATTGTCATGGTAGATAAAGAAACATTTTACCTATTCTTGTGGTACCATATTTTTTTTAAACCAGAAATAGTATGGAAACTGGTTCTGGATTAAATTCATGACTTTTAGAGGTTGTCTAAAAAACAAATATTGAGTTCAATTTACTGACAGAGTTATAATAACAGAAGCAGAACAGCAGACAATCTACATTCCACATGGAGCGCAAGTACAAGAGCTTTCATAACTTTACAGTGAACAGGAAGGACAGACAGGGTGTGTAGTTGATGCAATGTCCAACCAGTTAGAATTATCAGTGAAATCCAAATATTTTCCATAAAGACATGCAGAGCAATGGCAATGTAACATACAAATAGGTAATCTCCCCCCTGTTAGTGACTGATAACAATTTCATTATCTGTATCTGTAGTTTTTAAAAGGTTTAAAAACAGATGTCATTAACTGCTGTTTATTTGAGGCAATAGAATTAAGCTAACCACACACTCAATCATGAGCTCAGGATTACAGGCAACGTGTTTCCAATGGCAAATAAGCCTATTTCTATTCTTACTATTTCTATCCCAAATTATTCACTGATTTAAAAAAAATGTTCCCTCTGATTATAACATTGCTGGGGTTTCAACCTCTGCTAATGATATTTAGAGAACATTAAAATGTCATTATAATTATGGATGAGTAGATTTCATATTCTTATCCACACTGCATTTACTATTACATATTTGTATTGTGATTACCTATTTACTGTCAAGGATATATCTATTACATAATTCAGAATTGCATCCAACAAACTCTTCCTCCACAATCTAGTATATTTTATGGGGCAAATTATTTTCTAGTTATGAAACAAAAGGTACCTCTAAAAACTCTCCTTCACTCATTTGTTAGTAGGAACATTTGGGATTGGAAAAAGAGTTCATGAATGCTAATGACTTAAATTTAGCCCTGGGAATTACCATGAGAGAAGTGCAGTATAAAAAATTGCTATAAAATTTTTGATTTAAAAAATTCTGAGGTCAATAGTCCACTGATACATGGTTTATATTGGTACCTTCTTAGGACATTTTAAGTAAGTCAACAATCACAGCAAGACGTGTCATTCAGTATAACTTTATTTACTATTATTGCACATAATTCGAGGTCTTTAATCTCTAACCACCAAAGAATCAAAGGACTATTTTATCCATAGTGTTTAACAGGAACATTAGCAAACTCATTTGTTCATGTGATCCTTTTTATTGTAAACATTTGAATTATTCAAATTGCCATAGATCCTGAACTCATAAGCGTGGACCATGCACATACTGGCAGCAAGCCAGGAAGCCACTCTGCAAGCAAACAGGTACTCTGCATAAGGAGAAAAGTCATAGCACAACACTTAATGTCCAATCTAAGTCATCTCAGAAATAAACATATATTGACTTCTTAATTCATATAGTATCTGGAACTCAACTGGTTGGTTGGTGATGGGTTGACTGGATTTGGGGAGAATTATTCTTGGAAGAGTTAAGAAAAGGGGACTCAATCTTTCTTCTTCGTTGCCTGTTCCTCTCCAGCACCTTCTTCTTTCTTTTCTTCTTCCTCAGCTTCTTTGGTTTCTTCTTCTTCACCTTCGCCTCCTTCTTCTTCCTCCTTTGCATCTTCAGATTCTTCCTTGGCAGCTTAAACATGAAAAGAAAGTTTATGAATTCCAAATTTAGGGTAAGTACAGAATCCTTTATACATAAATTCTTTATGCACAGTTTTGTGTGAAAACCCAATGTAGAATACTTCCCCCAAACCACTGAGAGCTCCACTCCCACAAATCAAGCGCAATCATCCATGCTTACCAAGATCCGTTGCCACTAGATACCTACTGAAATGGACTTTGCAGTAATGAGCACTTTGTTTTTCTCCGGGACTTCATTATATTATATACATGGTATTCACTTCTGTCCTTTAGGACACAAAAATATTGCATGAGAGGAATATATTTATTCCTCTTCATAATTATATTAATGATATAGTTAATATTTTCAAATATTACTTTCTTCAAACTACCAATCGAAGCAGAGATATATATCTCTGGGAGAACTGCAAACTTAAGAAATCAGGTGTTTGCCAAATTTTTGTTGAAGATCTAACCTAAGATTCTAAATTCAGGAGTAAGTTTAGAGCTTATACATAGCCAAGGCCTAGTCTGCCCTGGGAGTTGTAGGGATTTGTTTCTTATCCTACCGTCTTCCTCCTCTGCTCCTTCCTCCTCTTCAGCCTCTTCCTTCTCCTTCTCTTCTTCAGCTTCTCCTTCAGAAGGGGGTTCATCTTTGGCTTCCTCAGCTTTCGTGGCTTCGATAGTCTCCTCCACCTCAATCTGTTCCTCCTGAACATGGCTGGTGTAGTAGGATGGGAAGGAGCGGGTGGACATCAGGTAGGAGCTGGTTTGCAAGCCACTAAAGGCAGACCTGCCAAAGACCTGGGAGCTCTGAGAGTAGCCGCTAGTTATGCTTCCCACGCTGGTGAAACTTAGTCGTGTCTCTTCACCTTCCAAGAGTTTCCTTTAAGGGAGGGAGAACAAACATCAACATGAAAGTGTTTTGAGTGACTGGCCCTGAGCCCACCCCTCATCCTCTTCCCCTAAGGCCACCCTGACTCACAAGCAAGAATAAGGTTAGAAAATACTAAAGGGATGGGTATAAAATTAACAAACATTGTGATGTTATGATTGATACTAAGAAAAAAAGAAAAATGAGAGCAAAAGTAGTCCTATTGGATTTTCAATGTAATGGAAGCTAAGAATAGGGCTCTTTATTACAGAATCAGATTCTTAGGCATTTTTTTAAAAGCCTGTGAAGGTTTTTGATTCAATAGAAATGGAATCTGAGTTGCTGGTTTAGGCTGAATGGCTGTGCCTCTGTTCTTACCTGTAAGCTGCAATCTCAATATCCAACGCCATCTTCACATTGAGAAGGTCTTGGTATTCTTTTAGGTACCGGGCCATTTCACTCTTTGTGGTCCTCAATTCATTTTCTAATTTGTTGATTGTGTCCTGTATGGGTGTGGGGAAAAAGAGAGAGAACCAAGCATAAATCCCAGCTGCAACCATTTTGCTACAGCATTGCTGCAAAGGCCTAGGCTTACTAAAAATCAAAGTACACACAGATAAAATCTCCCCTAAAACAGCTGCACCTTCTCTTTTTAAGTATTTCTTTCTCTGCCCAACAAACCCTCCCCCCACACACACATTCAGCTTCATGAGATGAAAACCAAAAATGAACTTAAATTTTTTTTATTTAGTTAATGCAGTCTAATGGTCATCATAGCATGCCTGTAGGTTATTAAACCTGTTTAAAGGGGAAGGGAGAATCCTGTCATTGATTTTATCCAGGTCACATGGTAGATATTATTCCATTTCTTTATAGAATATAATTAGATTTAATTTTTTATTTTACCTAAAATATTTTCTATGTCACTAACAAGTCTCACAATGTTACTGGGCCCGCTCCAGCAAACCGATGAACAACGGGAGGACGGTGACAGTGACAATGACTATATTAATGTTTTTTTTCCTCCTTAGCAGATGGAGATCCTTAAGAGAGATGTTGTACCACCGTACAACAGCATCATTACCTATTGCCTTTTTTTTTTTTACTGTATTCCTAATCCACCTACTAAGGAAAGGAAGTGGCTGGCAAAACTAGTCATAAAGAAGTGATGAGAGTTCTTCGCTTTATTTAACCAGATGGTTAACCGTGCTAAAAAACTTGTACTTAATGCGGGACCGTGGAAAGAGAGGCGAAGGGCAACGCCCAGCTGCCACCCCCTTCCTCCAGGGCACCCGCCCCCTGCAGGGCAGGGCAGCCTTACTGCGGAACTGAGTTACAAGTGAAACAAGGGCGTCTTCCTAGACTGCAGTCGCGCCCCTCGACCCCTGCTACTAACCCCCGCCCCACCCACCCAGATGCAAAGGAGCCAGATTCCACCCCGTAATAGGTGCCAGCAAATGCCAGCTCACTGGTTTCTATTCAGTGGGCGCGCTCTAAATTCCAACCCCCACCCACCCCCACCCCGCACTCCGTGGCCCCTACCCGCCTCCCACTGTTTTGCAGGATGAGGTACCTGCATGGCACTAATGTCAGCATTCTGTTTGTCCTCCAGTTCCTGCAACTGCTTCTCCAGCGCTTCGTTCATGCCCCGGCAGGCTTCGATCTCCAGGGTTTTGGCCTTGAGCAGGCGGCGGCTCTCGGACACCTCGTCCTTGGCGGCGCGCACCGCGTCCGTGTTCTTGGCAGCGCTCTCGGTGAGCACCGTGAAGCGGCTCTTGAACCACTCTTCGGCGTTCTGCATGTTCTTGGCCGCTAGTTTCTCGTACTGGGCGCGGATGTCCTTGAGCGCGGCCGAGAGGTCGGGCTTGGAGGAGACATCCATCTCCACGGAGATCTGCGCGTACTGGATCTGCGCCTGCAGCTCGGCGATCTCCTCTTCGTGCACTTTCTTCAGGAAGGCGATCTCGTCCATCAGGCTGTCGATGCGCTTCTCGAGCTCGGCGCGGGCGAGCGCGGCCTCGTCGGCCCCTTTGCGCGCCTCCATCAGCCGGCCCTCGGCGTCCTCGCGGCTCAGCACCTCCTCTTCGTAGCGCGCCTGCAGGTTCCGCAGGGTCTCCTCCAGCCCCTCGCGCTCGCCCTGCAGCGCCTGCTTCTCGTTGGTGGCGTCTTCGGCCGCCAGGCGCAGGTCGCGGATCTCCTGCTCGTACAGCGCCCGGAAGCGGGACGGTTCCGAGTGCTTCTGGCGCAGCACCAGCAGCTCCGCTTCCAAGACCTTGTTCTGCTGCTCCAGCTCGTGCACGCGCTCGATGAAGCAGGCGAAGCGGTCGTTGAGGTCTTGCAGCTGCGCCTTCTCCTGCGTGCGGATCGACTTCAGGTCGTTGCTGATGGCCGCTACCTGGCTCAGGTCGAGGTTTTCCAGGCTGGGCATCAGAGAGCCGGAGCTGGACGAGTAGCTGCGGCGCACCGACAGGGAGGAGGAGACCGGCGCCGAGTAGCTGGAGTACGCGGAGCGCGCGGTGCTGTAGCCGCTGCGCACGCTGGAGATGTGCACCCGGGGCGACTCCACGTAGCGCCGCTTGTAGGTGGTCGAGTAGTACGGCTCGTAGCTGAAGGAACTCATGGTGGCGATCGGCGTCCCTCTGGCTGCAGGGGCCTGGAGAGAAGGAAGAGCAGGGGAGAGAGGGAGAGGAGGAGGGAGGATGGATGGCTGTGTGCGGCTCGGCGCCGTCCTGCCGCCTCTATTTATACGCGGGGAGCATTCTGACGCAGGCCGCGATCGATCACCGCGCACCGGGCCGGTGGGGGCAGCGCGCTGCTGCAGCCAAAGGGAGGATTCTGCGCAAAAGGCAGAGAGAGGGGGGTGGCGACCCGCAGCGAGAAGGCTGCGGCGCTCGTCCTGGCCACTTTTTCTCTCTGACTCCTCTCTGTTTTTTCCCTCTGACACCCGTCGACCCTCACTCACGGCCTTTTCCTGCTCTTCTCCCACCCTACTTATTCCTTGATCTCGTATCGCTTGGAACCTAACGTGCCCCCGGTTTAAAAAAAAAAAAAGATTTTTTCCTGCCTATTAAAAACTCAGGTTTCCCCTCTCCCGATATTTGTAATACACCCTAACACACACACACACACACACACACACACACACACACACACGTGCGCGCGCACCTGCAGAGCAGATCGCCCCTTCCCCAAAGCAACCCCCTTCATCTCCGCCCACCCCCCATCGCACCCCACCCTACCCCACCCCCCGCCCCCAGTCCCTGCATGGTGTTTGTGTGACTGCGGCGCCACTAGGGCGTCCGGAACACCAGCGAAAGTCGAAGGAGGTGGCAAGGATGCGGCAGGGAGGAAAGTTTCCGAATCTTCGTCGCTTTCCCCGGCTTTTTCTTTTTATTTCATCCCGCGGGATTCTTGAAAGCGCTGCTTCTCGGCACTCGCACACCAGGGAAACTGCGGCACAGCGCGAGTCCAGATCATGGTTTCGAAACTCTCAGCCCTCAATGACCGTGTTTCACTGTCTCTCGACCCGCACTGTTTCTCGGGGAGAAGGAGGCCCCGGGTACTCGCAGCGCATTGCAGCGTGCGGGTGAGAGGCGGGGATGAGCCTGAAACTCGGCCGAGAGGGAGTCTGGTGCCGGTGCGCTCTCCAAACTCAATTCCGGCTTGACACCGCCACCTCCAGCACCTTGAAAGGCCTTTCCCTCTTTGGACACATGTGCTGTCCCAACCTGATGCTTTCCGACCAGCCCTGCAGGTGGCCGATGTTCGAGAGAAGCTGCACCCAGCCCCGAGTGCCCGGTGCCTTCTCCCAAGAGTACCCAAGTCGAGATCTTGAGTTCTGGGGCGCACAGAAAATAGCCTCATCATCCCCCCCCCCCCCCCGCAATCATTCCTGATCTCTAATAAATAAATCACGGAGTCTACCAGGAACCAGCGATTACCTCTCACCCACACGGCGACACCCGAAACCGGGTGAACACCAACGCCGCCCAGCTGCGGCTTGCGGAGGCTTTGCCCGAGTGATGTGAGGGATCCCCAGTTCCGTGAATTTGCATTGGAACCCTCGTTTTTTTTGTTTTTTAAAGCTCTTGATTTTTTCCTTTTTCATATGAATAGCACTCAAGGAGGAATTTATTAATCTTTTATTAAAGACGAAAAGTGTGACGCCTGGTACGGGTTTGCGTATGCGGGTATGCGTTTTCCCGTGTAGAAGCCGGGTCGCACTCCCGGGAACGCGGAAGAACTGCAAACTGGGGGTGAGGTAGGGTGGGGGGTCTCCACAATTGCTGGGGCACTACTGCGCTCCTCTCGGATTGGAAGATGGGGTGAAGCTTAAACTCTCCGAGGTCCTTTCGCCTCTGAAAACACGTATTTCTAATATCCTCTTCTTAGTAGCGAAGTTCCACGGGGCTTTCAGACCAATCAATCATCTCAAATAATGCAACTCTAGAAACATTGGCATGGGGAGTGTGCATCGCTCAAGACGAAGGACAGTATTCGCAGTCCATCTTGCTCAAACGTTCTAGGATTTCAGACAGCAGCTACTGGACTGTTCTGATTTTTGCTGGCCACTTGCAGGCATGAGCTCTTACTCTAATGATTTTCTTGCTCAGACAGTCCTAGTCTTCTTTTATCTGCCATTCGAAGTCAAAAGAAGTCTCTGTGGAGAGGAAGAAAGTAGGACAGGGCACCTAGATAAGCCATATTTGCTTGACTCCCCATGTAAATTAAAAGTATCCAAGTGCATTTCCCCCCCTGCTCTGCCCTCAGAAATTAAAGGTGCTTCACATGTGTAAGTTGCCTTGCATCACCCTCTTAGGTGTTCTTGAACTCATTTCTTTGGTGCCTGTTCCCTTCCATCCAAGTTTCAGATCACTCACAGAGATCTTAGTTCCATCAGCTTTTTCTCCTGGCTCAAGCCTTGGACTGCACTGAAGGCGACCCAGGAAGCAGGAAGGAGGCTGGAGGGGCTGCCTGGCAGTGAGTGACTGCCATCCTTTGGGTTTTAGAAATAAAGGCTAAGAGTGACAGGTAGGGGTCATTGTCTTTGGTGAACCCAGGGACAGGAATGGAGAGAGAGAGATGTATCTGCTGCCTTTATGGCTCTAACCGCTCTCTCTTCTTTAAAAGTAGCTCCTCACATTCACCATTCTGAAGTGCAGCTCCGAAGCCAGCCTGTGTCTGGGTTTTGGTGACCTTGCTCTCAGCTTTCTTCTGCTAGGTGCCAATCTTGTTTATGATGTTCTGTCCAGTCATCCTCCTCTTGAAATCCTCAGCCTGTGTTTTGCTGAATGTCCAAGACTTTGTTTGACAAAACAAAGGTAAACATTAGAAATTCTATTTACAAAAGCAGGCTTGATGTTTCCCTCCCCTTAGCACCAAGGATTGTGCATTAGCATTGTTCACAGAGCTCTCAGTTTATTCAGGAGGTGTTTTATGGCTCTTGCCACACGTTTGTGCATTTATTCCCTTTAACCATATTTCTCCACCAATACAAAATTGTTTGAAGGCTGCCAGCAAAATATATTCCTAGGAGACAAAAATTGTGTGTGTGTTTGTGTGTGTCCACATGCATGTATATTTGTATATAGGCTAGGGAGATACCTCAGTGGGTTAAAGCACATGATTTTGCTGGAGGCCTGGGTTCAATTCCCACCACAGCCATAATAGCCACTGAGCAGAGACAGGTGTAGCCCAAAACTCAAAAATAAATCAGTGGGGAACCAGAGCTATAGTACAGTGGGTAGGACATTTGCCTTGCATGCAGCAGACCCAGGTTCGATTCCCAGCATCCCATAAGGCCCCGGAGCAATACCAGGAGTAATTCCTGAGTACAGAGCTAGGAGTAACCCCTGAGCATTGCCAGGTGTGACCCCAAAAGCAAAAATAAATTAAATAAGTGAAAGCAAATATAGACATTTGGTGGTGATATTGATTAATAGAATATCTACCATCTATTTTTACTACTATCTCTATAATTTTGTGTATATCTGCATATATGTAACTGTGTGAAATAATTTAGTTAAAATGTAACATGCATTCATAGGGTTTATTAAATGTAGCTCTCAGAACACTGAGAAAATTTTGCTTCTTCAATCACAATCATGTCAGAAAACTTGAGATTTCTAGGCCTTGTTGACTTTTACCATAAGTTGACTTGTGTGGTTCTTTTTCTCCAGAAAAGCTCAGTTTGAAGCTTATAAACATACAGGGCAGCCCCATAAAAAGCATCATCCAGGGTCTGGAAAGCAAATTTCTGCTACCAGTGTGCAGTGGGAATAGCCCCAGACCAGAACAACAAATGGGTCTCTCATTGGTTGGGGTCCCCATTGGTGGCAGTGAAATTAATAGTTTATCCGGGCAAGGAGACATGAAGGGATAAACCATGTGTACTATAGTTACCACCTGACAGGCATTTGCTCTCTAATATACCAAATCTCCAGAAGATGGTTACTGTTTTTCTGAGCAAACAGCTAGGTCTCAGGGAGATTAAATAATCTGCCAACTCACACAGCTATTTCTAACCTCGGCTTCCTGTATGAGCAGCTCAACTCAGCACACACACAGCAGCCACTAAGGTACTGATTACCTCTGTCTCTGCAGAATCAGACAATAGCATCATGCTCCTATATCTTGCAGGATCTAGTGAGTATGCCTGAGGTAAATCTATCGAGTTAGTTTGGTGGGTCCCACTATGGAATAATCTATGCTATGAGGAAATTGCTAAAGAGCAAGGCTCATTTGGACAGTTAGTAGTAGGTGTATAATTGTTGTAGGTCTCAAATTCCCTAATGTAAAATAAAATTATGCTATCACTAAATTGTACTATCTAATGGGAGTGTCACTTTAAGATACCAGTTCTCAAAACATCTTTTCCAGAAATATCAAGCTAAAATGAAAGGGAGTTGATATAAAGTTTTTTAAAATGACCTGTTTATGACCTTCACTAGCTTTCTAATTAAAATCCCCTCAATGTCCACCCATTAATAGTTTCTTGATAAACACCCCTCATGGTTGCTATACCCGACAGAAAGGAAAGGTATGGCATGAACATCTTGCTGTAACCATGCTTTCTAGAAGTCTAATTTTCAAAAAGAAGCAAGAGTAAAATCAACAGAAAACGTGTAGCTTGTGGGAATTACAAGTACATTTTTCTCTGTTTCTGTAACTAGCTTATATTTTCATGTATTTTTCTCGCTGTAGCAATCATACGTGAATCTCCCTATCTCCTGGGAAATATATTTGAAAGAAAACTTTCCCCACTGTAATATAAAACTTGCTGGATGTTACAGCACTACATTGTGAAGTAATGCATCATAAAGTGTTGCTCTGCGGCTATATAAATTTCAGATTGCAGTAGGAATGTGACTATCATTTGAATAGATTCAGGATGAAAAGCAGATTTATATTCAGAACACGTACGATATTCGAAACGACAGGAACTTGCTGCTGTCCAAGCAGAAATGATGATGATTGCTTTTAACCCCTAAATACTTGCTGCACAGAACTAGTGAAGGTAATGTCTTTCCTCCCCAGAGGCCTATTCCACAGTGAGTTGCCCTTAATCACATTTACCAGATGCAGAAGGAAGAGGATAGGCAATGGACATTAAGTGGCTTCAGTTGCAGTCATTTCAGGCAGGTCACGGCCATCTGGGGTGGAATCAACAGTGCTAACTCTGTTTGTTCAGTTGTGGCATTCCAGACTGCAACAAAATACATGCTGCTTCTGCAGTTTGGTGACTAACTAGCTGCAGAAATACTCCATGCGGCATCTGGATCTCTTTGCTGACCTTTATGG